AGACTAGACTATAGACCTAGACTATAGACTAGACTATAGACTAGACTAATGAGACTAGACTATAGACTAACGATAGACTAGAGCTAGAGACTCTAGACTAAGACTAGACTTATAGACTAGACTATAGACTAGACTGATAGACTAGACTATAGAACTAGACTATAGACTAGACTATAGACTAGACTATAGACTAACTATAGACTAGAAAAAACTATAGACTAGACTATAGAACTTAGACTATAGACTAGACTCTAGACTAGACTGAGACAGACTATAGACTAGACTATAGACTAAGACTATAGACCTAGACTATAAGACTAGACTATAGACTAGACTATAGACTAGACTATAGACTAGACTATAGACTAGACTATAGACTAGAACTATAGACTAGACTATAGACTAGAACTATAGACTAGACTATAGACTAGACTATAGAACTAGACTATAGAACTAGACTATAGACTAGACTATAGACTAGACTATAGACTAGACTATAGACTAGACTAGACTAGACCTATAGACCTAGACTATAGACTTAGAACTATAGACCGAGACTATAGACCTAGACTATAGACTATACTAAGAGACTAGACTATAGACTAGACCTATAGACTAGACTATCAGCTAGACTATAGACTAGACTATAGACTAGACTATAGACTAGACTATAGACTAGACTATAGGACTAGACTATAGACTAGACTATAGATAGACTATAGCTGACTATAGACTAGACTATAGGACTAGACTATAGACTAGACTTAGACTAGCACTATAGACTAGACTATAGACTAGACTATAGGAAGACTATGACTAGGACATAGACTAGATATAGACTAGACTATAGACTCGAACTATAGACTAGACTATCGACTAGACTATAGACTAGACTATAGACTAGACTATAGACAGACTATAGACTAGACATAAGACTAGGACTATAGACTAGACTATAGACTAGCTAGACGAGACTATAGACTAGACTATAGACGAGACTATAGACTAGACTATAGGACTAGACTATAGACTAGGACTATAGACTAGAATGATAGACTAGACTATAGACTAGACTATAGGACTAGACTATAGACTAGGACTATAGACTAGACTATAGACTAGACTATAGACTAGACTATAGACTAGACTATAGACTAGACTAGACTATAGACTAGACTATAGACTAGACTATAGACTAGACTATAGACTAGACTATAGACTAGACTATAGACTAGACTATAGACTAGACTATAGACTAGACTATAGACTAGACTATAGACTAGACTATAGACTAGACTATAGACTAGACTATAGACTAGACTATAGACTAGACTATAGACTAGACTATAGACTAGACTATAGACTAGACTATAGACTAGACTATAGACTAGACTATAGACTAGATATAGACTAGACTATAGACTAGACTATAGACTAGACTATAGACTAGACTATAGACTAGACCTAGACTAGACTATAGACTAGACTATAGACTAGACTATAGACTAGACTATAGACTAGACTATAGACTAGACTATAGACTAGACTATAGACTAGACTATAGACTAGACTATAGACTAGACTATAGACTAGACTATAGACTAGACTATAGACTAGACTATAGACTAGACTATAGACTAGACTATAGACTAGACTATAGACTAGACTATAGACTAGACTATAGACTAGACTATAGACTAGACTATAGACTAGACTATAGACTAGACTATAGACTAGACTATAGACTAGACTATAGACTAGATTATAGACTAGACTATAGACTAGACTATAGACTAGACTATAGACTAGACTATAGACTAGACTATAGACTAGACTATAGACTAGACTATAGACTAGACTATAGACTAGACTATAGACTAGACTATAGACTAGACTATAGACTAGACTATAGACTAGACTATAGACTAGACTATAGACTAGACTATAGACTAGACTATAGACTAGACTATAGACTAGACTATAGACTAGACTATAGACTAGACTATAAAATATTCTGGACTACAGACCAAACTATAATCAAACTATTGTGCACTTACTATCTCATTCCTTATATTTTGTTATACAAAACAAATATACCAAGTTTTTCTCTTAGTGTAAAGACGCACAGTGGTATAGGAAAAAAAAAGAGGGAAATAATTCGGTAACTTCTAAACGGTTAATCCGATTTTAATGAAATTTGGTATGCACAAAGAGGAGGTGTTGTCGAGTTTAGGTTTTGAATTTGGACCTTATAGGCCAACCAGGGGCCCGGCGGGGGGTCCTCAAATTAGGACACCTCGGCTATGTTAAATTTTTAAAACGATCCTATTTCTTCATTTGAGTTCCGATTTAAAAAAAATTTCGTATATAGAATCTCCTCATCGAGCACTATAAAAAATGTCGTCGTAGCAGTAAATTATCTCTTATAGTTTAGGAGATATTCGCATTTGAATATTAAAATTTTAAAATTTTTACCGTCCTTACTTTAGTTTTTTTGATAATAGCAGGTCCAAATATTTCCGATTTTCGCCATTTTTTTTATTTGCTTAACAACAAGTTTATATACCAAGCAGTGAAAGAATTATGTAAAAATCATGACTGAGTCCAAAGTTATAGGCATTTAAATTTAAAAAATTAAAAAAAGGCGATTTTTTGTCATTTTTTTGGGAAAAAAGTATCTTTTTCTTTTTAAGTTATCTAAAAAGTTTCTAAGAAGATGTATATAGAATTTATACTTTTTGAAAAGCTGACTTTACATAAAATACGATAAATGAAACAAAACCTAAAAATTTTTGATACCGAGGGGACCAGGTCCATCCAAAAAAACCCTATTTTTTATGGAAAATTAAATTTTGAGCAAAAATTCTCAAATCGCATAGTCGATATCAAATTATAGTGACCTGTTTTATATGACCCAATAAGTTCTTAATAATTTTGTAACGGGTTTCGATAACCCCGCCCCTGGTATGGATATAATAGGCAAAAAACCAAAAAATCCCATTTTTGGGATTTTTTAAAACTTTTTTGGGAATTCCGGGATTTCTAATAAGAAAATTCGAAATTTTTATTTAATTTTGGATTTTGAGTAAAAAAATCTACCTAACTGTAAAATTTCATCAAAAAATATTCATAAATAAAATTTTTATTGCAATTTGAAAAATTTGTATCTTCGCAAAAACTGAATAAAAAACATTTTTTAATTTTTTTTAAAAAAAGTATTCCGCGAATTTTTTAATTTTCAAAAATTATATACAGTTTTGAAAAATAGACAAAATTACCTTTCCATTGATATATAACATGCCTACCTAATGTTTTTTAAGTGACAAATTAATTAGGGAAAACTCAACATCTTTTAGAAAATTTACCTAGCACTATTATTTTCATCCATATATGTAACAAATTTAAGAGTTAACCTTATGGATGAAAATAATAGTGCTAGGCAAATTTTCTAAAAGATGTTGAGTTTTCCCTAATTAATTTGTCACTTAAAAAACATTAGGTAGGCATGTTATATATCAATGGAAAGGTAATTTTGTCTATTTTTCAAAACTGTATATAATTTTTGAAAATTAAAAAATTCGCGGAATACTTTTTTTAAAAAAAATTAAAAAATGTTTTTTATTCAGTTTTTGCGAAGATACAAATTTTTCAAATTGCAATAAAAATTTTATTTATGAATATTTTTTGATGAAATTTTACAGTTAGGTAGATTTTTTTACTCAAAATCCAAAATTAAATAAAAATTTCGAATTTTCTTATTAGAAATCCCGGAATTCCCAAAAAAGTTTTAAAAAATCCCAAAAATGGGATTTTTTGGTTTTTTGCCTATTATATCCATACCAGGGGCGGGGTTATCGAAACCCGTTACAAAATGATTAAGAACTTATTGGGTCATATAAAACAGGTCACTATAATTTGATATCGACTATGCGATTTGAGAATTTTTGCTCAAAATTTAATTTTCCATAAAAAATAGGGTTTTTTTGGATGGACCTGGTCCCCTCGGTATCAAAAATTTTTAGGTTTTGTTTCATTTATCGTATTTTATGTAAAGTCAGCTTTCCAAAAAGTATAAATTCTATATACATCTTCTTAGAAACTTTTTAGATAACTTAAAAAGAAAAAGATACTTTTTTCCCAAAAAAATGACAAAAAATCGCCTTTTTTTAATTTTTTAAATTTAAATGCCTATAACTTTGGACTCAGTCATGATTTTTACATAATTCTTTCACTGCTTGGTATATAAACTTGTTGTTAAGCAAATAAAAAAAATGGCGAAAATCGGAAATATTTGGACCTGCTATTATCAAAAAAACTAAAGTAAGGACGGTAAAAATTTTAAAATTTTAATATTCAAATGCGAATATCTCCTAAACTATAAGAGATAATTTACTGCTACGACGACATTTTTTATAGTGCTCGATGAGGAGATTCTATATACGAAATTTTTTTTAAATCGGAACTCAAATGAAGAAATAGGATCGTTTTAAAAATTTAACATAGCCGAGGTATCCTAATTTGAGGACCCCCCGCCGGGCCCCTGGTTGGCCTATAAATTCCAAATTCAAAACCTAAACTCGACAACACCTCCTCTTTGTGCATACCAAATTTCATTAAAATCGGATTAACCGTTTAGAAGTTACCGAATTATTTCCCTCTTTTTTTTTTTCCTATACCACTGTGAGACGTATAATCTATTGACGTGAACCAAACGTGTCAGAAAATTAAATAAATCTAATTAATTGTTTACTAAATGTTTTCACTATTCATGATGGAAAATTAATAAAATAAGATTTGCCAAAAATAATATAACAACGTATTCTTACGACTAACACACCTGCACTGAAAAAAATTAAAAAAAAATAATTTGTTTAAAATAAATATAGTACATACGTACAAAAATATTTCAATATTTTAATAAATTTTGAAAATGTTATGTACATATAGTCTATAAATAAAATCTTTACATTATAATCAAGTACATATAGTCAGCGGACAATACATTCTACATATTATATGTACATGCATTTGTTAAATTGCAAAAGAAAAAGATCACAGATCAGTTTAGAAAAACACTTGTTGGTCACCTCTAAGGGGAACTACAAAAATACAAACAGTAACAGGTAAAAGAAAACAATTACAAGTATTTATTAAGTCAGCTGAGTATGCAGTCTAGAGACTAGACCATTTTTCAATTTTGAAGAAAACAACAACTATTATGATTTAGTTCATTTAGATCCCTCCATCCGTCCCAATCACTGTATGCAGTTAATTGAAGAACTCATTATAGTTTAAAAGATACATACATATGTGAAAAAATACATAGATACTTATGCCTTTGTAACCATTGTTTTTTTCCATATGATACCGACAATATCATTTTGATTTTGTCTTGAATATAATAGAACACCAAGTTGTATGTATCTGAACAGCTGATGTCTGACGTAAAATTAAAACCAGTTGGTTTTTTTCTTCTTTCTTTTAAAACACATATAGATAATAAAACCACATATAGATTTTCTATATTTATGAAAGATTTGTTTTGATGATCATGATGAAAATATTTACAGTGAAGTGGAAAACTGCAGCAAAATGTTTGTTGTATATATGGGATCCCTTATCATTAATAAGAATAAATTTCGCTGAATAATTTAAATATATAGACAATATATTCGTGTAGAATTCTATACTTAGATGATTTACATTTAAGTGATTTTCAGAAGTGGGCTTTATACGGCAGTTATGCCCCTCATTAATATGGGACCTCTCACCATCAATGAGAATGAATTTCTTTGAATAATTTGAGTATATATACGATATATTCGTGTAGTATTCTTTTTCAAGATCATTAACATTTAAGTGATTTTTGGAAGTAGGTTTTATATGTGAATTGTGACCAATTATGGGCCGATCCGGAACAACTTTGACAGAATGATTAGTATATGTATATACAAACCTCATTCGAGTACAATTTTATCCCGATATCATTATTAATTTGTGAATTATTTATGATTAAGTGATTTTCGGATATTGACTATGACCAATTATGGGTCTAATCGGAAAAAATAATTTATATTCAGAAGAGGGCTGTATATGGGAGATATTATGTGCCGATAAGAACTTAATTTCACATATTTGAGTATAATTTTATCTCAATATCAATATTACTTCATGAGTTATTTACGATTTAGTGATTTTCGGAAGTGGACTTCATATGCAAGTTATGGTCAATTATGGGCCGATCCAGAAAAATATTTCGCTGAATATTTTGCATAGGTTCACAACATATTAGTGTTAAATTTTGTCCCGATATGACTATTTGTTGATTTTCGGAACTAGACTTTATATGGGAGCTATGATCAATTATGCACTGATCCAGGTTTTAGCTGGTAATACGTTTTCTATTGACATATTTTGTGATGATACCGATATTCCAGAGGGAGTTATTAACATTAAATTCATTTTCCGTTAGAATGTAAATTTGTATGGGAGCACTATGCGCCCCTTACAATAAATAATAATTCTAATAATCAAAAACGAAGAAAAAACATAATATTTGTATGGGTTGTTTCGGAATTTTGATCATATTTTCGTTATTTATGTACCGAAATGTTCGAAAGCGTTATTAAAGATTCGGATCATGGCTAAATCGTCTACGCTATCTATAAGGATTCCGAATATATATACTTTATTAGGTTGAAAAAATTGTCGCTTTTAAAAGTCTATGCTAATGTTTTACCTCCTACTGTTCTTATATATAAAGTACCTTATTTCGAACAAGTATTTTTTATTCTTTAAAAGTACCTACCCATTCGTATTTTTAAAACAAAACACAAATACTTATTATATCTAAAAAAGCTGATGCAATATTGCGAAATTTTTTGGTAAGATTGTAAAAGACAAAAGACAGTAATCGGTCATAAAATAAAAGTTAATCATATTAACAAGGGTTCTATGATATTATATATTATTCAATATCATACAAAAAATCAGAATATACATTTTAAAAGAAAAACAAACTAAATTTTTAACAAACCTCTAAAGAGTAATTTCACCATAATATGAAAGCATAACCAGAACCAACACTATTAAATTTGCCTTACCCATTATATAGCAAGGGATAGTTTTTTTCCGGTTTTAATTTCATAACATTGTTTTATTTGTATTTTATACATATTTTTTTCTATATATGTGAACAATTAAAAAAATTCAAACACTTTGTTGATGTTTTCATGTGAAATCCGTAAAAGAAATAAATTGCAATAATTGATGTAATTCCCGGTTTAATATACTATTAAAAAATTTCGTAATATGTAATACTAAGAAGTTTTTATTTCATTATGAAAGAAAATAGGCTTTTGTACAGATACAAAAAATTAGGTCAATAACTTTTAGTTTAGTTTTTTTACCCTTCGAATTTAAATTACAGCCTCTGAGAAATTTGTTGGAAAGAAAATTCTTGGCCATTAATTGATCCAAAGCCCAATAATTACATTATACAGAGCCAGATTCTGGTCCGACAAAAGCTAAATTTTTGAAGTATAGACCGAATATTAAGTATATACATTACAATAAGAGTTAGTACTATGTCACCAAAAAAGGGGCGGTTTTATAATACCCACGCCCACTTTTTATGCTAATGCTAATTTTGGTATTATTGAGTAAATAGAAAGCAATAACTTAAAAACAGGCAAATTGAACCATGTCTTATAAGATCAAATTGCTGTATATAAATAAGGGTAGTTATAATAAGGACACGCCTACTTTTTGTATACAAATTTATGCTTAAGTAAAAAAGTGTAAGTCAATTTTATAAAGAATTTTTAAAATGTATTAAAATTGATAACATAAACGAATATAATTATTATGATAACCATGCCCACAACAAAACATTTCGGTAACTTTTTTTGGAGAATGGGCGTGGTCAATACTCAATAGACTGACTGCTCTTAAATTGAGGTGTGTAAAGATAGTAGATTCTTCAGAAATCCACTCAAAGGAAGATTATTCAGCCAAAACCGACAATTCGATCTTAAAATGCGCAATATCGGATCATAATTGTATAGAAATAACAGGTAAGAGTTCTATATTCTGTTGTGTCGAATCTTATATATCCTTCACCCTAATATGTTAAATAACAAGTAGGAAAGTATAGTCGGACATGGCCGACTATATTATACCCTACACCATGGGTATATTTTGACAATTACTTATTTTAAAGTTGAATTTTACCTTAATTCCGATTTTAATTAATTAATTTTACCTTAATTATTGATGAAAAACTAAACTTCTAAAAGAGGCTTTATATGGGTGTTAGGGTCAAATATAGGACGACCCTCAACAAATTATGAAGATGGATGTAATTTTATATAAAGGTTAGTGATGCTGAATTTTATCGCGATACTAATGTTCATAAGTAAATTTTTGGACGTTTAAGTTATTTTTTAAAGGGGGATTTGTATGGGGGCTAGAGTCAAACGAAGGCCGATATAAATTGGAAGGTAAGGTTGTATGGTGGCTAGGTGGTGTAGGGTATAAAACAGGGTATAAAAACTATAGTGGTATAGGGTATAAAAATAGTAAATACGTTTATTACAAACGAAAAAACTGACAAAATATCATAAGGTGCCCTTTTATAGATTTTCATTTAATAAGGACGCTGGGAGTATAATTCTGTTTCTAGGTTTAATTTAATATTAAATCTAGAAACAGACGCAAACAGTATCAATTGAAAATTGATAAAGTACCAAAAAGCTTAGTCTTATAAATTTCCATTCCATTAGAATGCATGATTTTAGGTTCAATAATTCAGAAAATCAAAAAAGTGCCATTTGAATGACGACAAAATGTTCGAAATTCCGCTTTATAAATTTTAATTATGCTGCATCTTTATTTTGCGTGTTTTAGGTTCAATATTATCAAAGATTCAAAAAGTTCAAGTTTACTCCATGCTCTACATTCTTAATTTCAAAATTCTAGGTTCAATAGTATAGAAAACTCAAAAAGTACCAATTAAAGAATAAAAAAGTACCAAAAAGTCCCTTGATATAGGTTCTAATTTATTTCGGGCTCTACATACTTGATATTATGTTTCTAGGTTCAATATTATACAAAATTCATAAAGTACCCTTTAAAGAACGAAAATGTACCAAAAAGTCCGATTTTATAGGTTTTTATTTACACGGGCTCTACATGCTTAAGTTTTATATCCTTCACCATCGTGAGATGTCGTATGAATGTCGATGTGCTTTACGTGAACACCTGCCTTGTTGGCCTAATTTCACGTTGGTCTTTTTCACTGGACAAGCTTTTGTGACGATACGCCCCTTTGTGTATCTTACACGCGGATGGACATTTTTGTACATGGTTTTACCGGTCCATGTACAAGCACTTTGCTCAAGTACTCGAGCATCAGGTACATCACTTCCGTTTACAACCAAGCAGATGGGATGGCAGACCGAAACACGAATCCATCATAACAAGTCGAAGACTTTGTTTTTACTCGCAGAGAACATACTTTAGTAAATCTGGTATAAACAGAGTTTTCCCTGAACATACCTAGACAAGGAAGAAAAATTGAATGGTATAAGATACCTTTCATCCATCATCATTCAACCCAGCACACTTCTCATTCATCCGACACCCTCATAGAGAACAACATCCGACACACTCACTCTAGGTATACGGGCGGGTAAGATCCGTATACCCCTACATTCATCCTGTATCATATACACTTAACACCCACTCATTTCCAACGCTTAGTCCCACAGTCACCCCTCTGTGAGGCATCCGACTTCGGCAACAGCGCACAATTTAATCCGAATTATAGATAGCACCGTAAATCAGTCCTTTAACCGACAATTTCTCTTCCGCGAATTTGGTTTTAAACCACAGCCACTACGTGGAACCTCAACCAACTGATCAGCCAGGACAAAGTCCTGCGGGCAACTGACCACCCGTAGTAGCAGATAATGTGGTTCTCCGGTTCGACACCATGTCAAATCATTTCAAGGAAAGGCCGAGAATACATTTGATCATCTAGTCCCGGCAGACTAGAGGTATTGGTAGCACCTTTTTTCCCCGGGATTGCAACCACACCAAGATGGGGTCTTTCATTAAGGTT